AGGAAAAGTACCTGGCAACTTTACCTTAAGTCTTGAGATAGCTGGCTTCTCTGTTTGGGGAGTAAAACTGCCTTTTTTTCCTTTCCCCTTCCCCCTCCCTTTCTGCATTCTCTCAAGAGGGAGGGTTTTAACCATCTGCCCTGTGTCCTTGGTTGGGGGAGATCATAGTTTGTTAGTTACAAGCTGGCTGTAAATTGCCCGCACTGTTTGGACTTGTTTTAACTTTCCTGTCTCAGTTTCCCTATTGCTCCTGCCCTGGAATCCTGTAACAGAGCTACCTGGCCAGGGCTCAAGTTTAGATGTTTTCTTTTTAGAATAATTTCTAATCCAAACATCATAAAAGTGGTACTAGGGATCATGAAGACGCCCCTCACCTGTGATGGAAAAGAGAAGGAAGAGTTTAGCATTAAAGTTTAGCTTGTTTAGAAAAAGCATGGAACACTTTAAAAATTCTTAAGATGAACAGAATAAACTGGTGAATGTAATAGAATCAGGGGCATGGAAAGGGAGCGGACTTACATTCTCGGGGGGGGGGGGGAGGAGGGGATATGGGGGGGTGCGGGAAGAGATTGGACAAAAATCTTACAACTATGGACGAGGACAGTGAGGGGGCGAGGGCATGGGAGGGGGTGGGAACCGGGTGGAGGGGAGCTATGGGGGAAAAAGGGAACATCTGTAATAGTCTGAACAATAAAGATTTTTTTTAAAAAAACTTAAGTTAATGGAAGGCAAGATCTTTCTTCATAAGGTCTTTGCACAAATGCTGAGTAAATGCCTTTTCTATTTGCATAATTTGGGGAGGTTCCCTGTTCTCTATATTTGGGTTGAAGGATAGTGTGTGACTTGTAAGGCAAACCAAATAATTCAGAATATAAATATTTCTACTTGAGTTACACAAGAAAAAGTTCTAAAATGACTGCTAGGTGATGAATATTTGCTGCGCATTGAGTGGGTGGATGTGGAGTGGTTTGGGGCTTTTAGTTGAGGAAGATGTACAGATGGCATTTTTCTGTACACTCTGCCAAAGTTCTTCTGGCTCCTGGAATTAGTACTGGGCAGCTATGGTAAACAGCCCATTCTGAAATGCTTTCAGATTCAAATATTTCAACCAGAGAATCTGCCAGGCTCTGGGTTAATTCTTATTATTATTATTGTGCGTATGTGTCTTACACTCTGGGCAGAAATGCCTCACCCATCACTCACAGAACATCAGAAGATTCTCTATTCCTAGCTGCACCCTAGATTTAAAACACAGTTAATAGGATTTGCTTATTAGGGCCTTATATTTGTTAGGAAGACAAAATATTAACATATATGGGTAAGTAAACTTGTTTTTCTCCTCTGATTAAATTTTTTATGCCCATGCTTTTGAGATTAGTCCATGTGAAAAATATGAATAAGCAGTTCCTATGGGCAAAGTAAATAACAGTGAAATTTCTGACAATTTCTATTGAAGATTATCATCATCCACTTTAGGTCTGGGAGGAACGAGCTGCATTTCTTTCTCTAAGCCACCCTCTTTAATAGGGGCATGCAGCCTGGCTTCATTGCTTCTGTATCCTCAGTGACTATAGCTTGGGGTCTTGTATGGAGAAGGTGCTAATGCCTGTTTGTTGCTAATGATAAATTCAGCTGTAAAATTTCAAAGTTGACCTACTTAAAGTTTATAAGGGGTTGAATCCCTAAGGCAGGGTAGGGAGAAGCAAAAACAGCTGTGGGATTTTGTTTTGTTTTTTTAGCAGTTGGACACAGCATCTTGGAAAATGGCCTTGACCCTGCCCTAATTTGGTGTCTTGTTTCAAAAGGGGTTGGAGGAGTCTTACCTGCCACTGCTGCTCGAGAGTGCTGAGACATACTTCTAGCTTCACCCAAAAAGTTGTTCAGGCTTCCTCATCCTTTACAAGACAATTGCATAGTACTCTGGGCAAGTGTCTACTTGTGGGCTGGCTCCATCCGTTAGCTAGGAATGAACATTGTCATTTTTGTGAAGATTGGGAACAAATATCTGATTCCTTTCCATGTGGTCTTTTCCTGTGATAGGTGTGATTTATCCATCAGGAATGTCATCCTGACCTCAAGGGAGAAAAAGGTTTTGTTTGTACCCTATTAAGGCAGTAGTTTAAGGGGTGGACTGACCAAGTCAGAAAACTCCTCTAGGACAACACCCACTCCAGGACCCACTTTAGTCACCTTTCTCCTGGGCCTGTCGAGGACCTGACATACCTGGTCATAGGAGATGTGCAATTGAACTTGAGGAAGTGGTCTCAGGAAAGCTCAGAGGGCTTTGAGAGGAGTGTGGAGCCCTTCTCGTTTTAACCTCCACTGGCTGGAACCAAACCGACCAGCAGTCTCCCAAGTTAGTTAAGCAGCTGTCAGAAGTGATTTCCTCTCACCCAAGAGGTGTGTTCAGAGCCCCTCAGGGGAAAATTTAAAAGATAAAGAAGGTGAGGTATTTTTTTTATCAGGTGAGTGGTCTCTGGCCTTCTTCTGCCCAAGACTGATCACACCAGCAGGCAAAAGCATGGAGCCAAAGGGCAGTCTTCCTCACAGCCTGCCTGCCAGTCACTAGTTTGATCCAGGATGAAGTGGAGACCAAAAAAAGAGAGGAGTAGTATTTTCTAAATTGTTTAGGTGAAAACCAGTCTGGAGATAACATATTCCTTGTCCAACCCTACCCCTAAGCAATTTAAAATTCTTTTAAAAGGTCTTGAAATTCACAGAAAATAAGGTTTCCTAGGACTGCCTCAGCAATTTTGTTGGTGTTTATACTAAGAGTAGTTGAGCTATAAGTTTTTGATGTTAGAGGGGGGTTGGAATGCAGCACATTCCTGCTGCAGGATCTGCCCTGGTTTTGTGCAGGGTAGTACTGACAGTGAATAGGAACTGAGACTTTTACTCAAGTCTTCAACTCATCTCCAGCAAAAATAGTTGAAATAAGACTACAGGTTAAGTAGTAAACCTGAGTGGGTACTCTTAGAGGCTTAAGCCGGTAGAATTTGTTTTTAATCTTCACTGTTGAAAGTATTACATATGTCCCCCGGTTCCTCCAATGGCCTCTCCCATCCTGCCCCCCTTCCTGACCCAAGGCCTTCACCACCCTATTGCCTAATTCCATGGGTTATGCATATACCCATAAGAGTTCATTGGTTGATCTCTTCACCCTCCTCCCCCACCCTCCACTGTCCTCCCTCTTAGGTTTGATAGTCTGTTTGATGCTTCTGTGTCTCTGTATCTATTTTTGTTCATTAGTTTATATTGTTCATTATATTCCACAAATGAGTGAGATCATGTGATTCTTATATTTCTCTGACTGGCTTATTTTGCTTAGCATAATGCTCTCTAGGTCCATCAATGCTGTTGCAAATGGTAAGAGTTCTTTCTTTTGTACAGCTGTGTAGTATTCCATTGTGTAGCTCTAACACTGTTTTTTAATCCACATAGTCTGTTTCCAAATCTTAGCTATTGTAAATTGCACTGCTATGAACATAGGGGTGTATATATTCTTTCTATTTTCTTGGGATATATTCCTAGAAGTGGGATCACTGGGTCAAATGGGAGTTCCTTTTTAATTTTTTGAGGAAACTACATAATGTTTTCCACAGAGGCTACACCAGTCTACATTCCCATCAGCAGTGTACCAGGGTTCTCTTTTCTCCACATCCTTGCCAATATTTGTCGTTTCTTGATTTGTTGATATAGCCATTCTGACAGGTGTGAGGTGGTACTTCATTGTCATTTTTATTTGCATCTCTTGGATGATTAGTGACCTTGGGCATTTTTTCATATGTCTCTTGGGGCTTCCTATATGTCCACTTTGGAAAAGTGTCTATATAGATCCTTTGCCCATTTTTTAATTGGGTTGTTTATCTTTTTTTTGTCAAATTGTATGAGTTCCCTATAAATTTTGGAGATTAACCCCTTATCGGATGTATCATTGGCAAATATGTTCTCCAGTGCAGTGGGCTTTCTTGTTTTTATGTTGATGGTTTCTTTTGCTGTGCAGAAGCTTTTTATTCTGATGTAGTCCCATTTATTTTCTCCTTAGTTTCCATTGTCCTAGGACAGTGGTCGGCAAACCACGGCTTGCGAGCCACATGCGTACGGGCGCGCACATACAGTGCGATTGAAACTTCATGGCCCCTGCGCAGAAGTCGGTTTTTGGCCTGGGTGAATCTATTTTGAAAAAGTGGCGTGTCAGGCCACGCGGCGCAGTGGGGCCGTGGGATACACAGCGCAGTGGAGGCGCGCGTGGTTCATGCACGAGTTGAGTGAGCCAGTCAGTCAGCAGTCTCATTGTGCAGTGGTTAGTGCTAGTCGCGTCCGCAAATCGAGTGCGGGTGACAAAAGTACCTACACGAAGCATAAAGTTACCTGTATTTTTCCAACCAGCTGCAAATCCTACAGGTATTTTTGTCATCAATTTAAGAGTTGTAATTATTTTGTGTTGGTGGCTTTATTATTATAAAATGAAACATTTGTTTAGGTGCCCTGTTTGACATGTCTACAAAGAAGAAGCAAAGAAAAACGGAAGACGAAAACCGTGAATTTAAAGTTGAATGGACTGAGACTTTCGCGTTTATTCAAAACTTAAATGACCTTCCGACCTGTCTTATTTGTCAGGAAAAATTGGCGCATAACAAGAAATCAAATTTGGAGAGACACTTTACAACTAAACACGTGTCATTTAGTACTAAATATCCTGTCGGTGATGCAAGGAAGAAAGCAGTTGAGGAACTTCAGAAGAGTCAAGAAAAATCAAGTTCTGTATTTAATTACTGGATGCAATCTTCCAACAATGTTAATATTGCAAGTTTTGTGGTTAGTCAAGAGATTGCTGAGAGAGGAAAACCATATACAGACAGCGAATACATAAAAAGTTGTTTTATAAATAAATGCATCTGAAGAGCTATTTCAGGATTTTAAGAACAAAGCAGATATTCTAAAAAAAAATTAAAGAGTTACCATTGTCTGCTAAAACAGTGAAAGATAGAACAGTCAAAATGTCTTCGAATATAACCAACCAGCAAGTCGAAGATCTTAAATTGGTTTCAGCTTTATCAATAGCAGTTGACGAGTATTGTGACATAAATGATACAGCGCACGTTTCACTTTTTGTACGATTTATTTCATCTACAGGTCCTAAAGAAGAACTTTTAGGATTATTGCCACTCAAAGGTCAAACACGTGGAGAGGATATAGCAAATGCTGTAATTGAGTGCATTGAAAAACATCATATTCCACTCGATGAAATTGTCTCAGTTTCAACAGACGTGTCAAAAAGTATGACCGGTGTAAGAAACGGGTTTGTTGCTATTTTGAAAGAAAAAATTAATCATGAGATACTTACTTACCATTGCATCATTCATCAAGAAGCCCTTTGTGCACAGACATTTCCAGAAGAAATTTGCAAAGTTATGGAATTGGTGATTAAGATTATCAACTCCATTATAGGTAAAGCTCTTAATCATCGCCAGTTTAAAGAATTTTTAGTTGAAATGGAGAGTGAGTACGCAGATCTCCTGCTGCATAACAAGGCATGTTGGTTATCAAGAGGAAACGTTTTGAAACGTTTCGCTTCCTTATTAAGAGAAATTAAAGCATTTCTCCTTGAGAAGGGTGTTCACTATCCAGAACTAACGAATGATCATGAAAATTTTATTTCATGGTAGACGTTACGGCTCATCTAAATCAGCTTAATCGTAAACTACAGGGGAAAGGAAACACAGTTTTTTCGATGTTAGAAGAAGTTATTTCATTCGAAAACAAAGGATCTCTTTTTGCTCAAGATTTTGAAAGAGAAACTTTGATTCACTTTCCAAGCCTGTTGAAACATTGCCAAGAAAATAATTCTGATATTGACATTTGCTATTTCAAAACAACACTTTTAAATATAAGGGAAGCTTTTCTCAACAGGTTTCAGGAATTCAGAAACAGCAAAGTGACTAGTCTTTGTTAAAAACCTCTCAATGCTACTGTAACAGAATTAAATTTTTGTCCCTTTAATATTGACATTGGCAACTTTGAAATGCAATTGCTGGATTTAAAAAAACAAAGAACTATGGAGCTCGAAACTTGAACATCTTTGTGCTGATATAGAAATATTGGAAAAAATGTGAACTTAGTTCACAGCACAAGTGGTCGGCTTTGAAAGACCTGGAGAAGGAAGGTATGTTGATTTTTAACACCTGGAATAATATTCCTGACTCATATAATCAACTGAAAAAACTAGCGTTTGCTGTTCTTTCCTTATTCAGGTCTACATATTTATGCGAACAATCATTTTCAAGCATGAACCTTATCAAGAGTAAATTGAGAAGTCGTCTTATTGATGAGAACCTGGAATCATGCCTAAAATTAAAAACAACAACATACAAACCTGACTTACCCAAACTTTCCAAGGAGATGCAAGGCCATTGTTCACATTAGTGTTTGTCAGTCACTGTCATGATTTAATTTTATGGATATTGTAAGGTAAATTGTAAGGAATTTAATCTTACCAATAAATAATATCGTTATTAAGTATGATATCAAGTTTTATTCAACGTACCTATAGCTTAACTAAGACTTAAAACTTTAAGTAAAGCTTATTAAGTTAATTTTAGGGAACACTGTGGAGTGAAAGAAGATGTAGTGTCGAGGATTGAGAAAAGTATGTTGAGTTGGTTTGGACATATAGAGAGGATGAACGAAAGGAGATAGAGGAAACAAGTATACAAGACGAGTGTGGATGGGAGAGGTGGAAGGGGTCGACCTCAGCGAACGTATCTTAATCAGATTGAGGACATTTTTAGCAAAGGCCATCTTAGGAGTACCCTAATTAAGTTAATAACAATGTACCTACCTATATAGTTTAAGTTTAAAAAATTTGGCTCTCAAAAGAACTTTCAATCGTTGTACTGTTGATATTTGGCTCTGTTGACTAATGAGTTTGCCGACCACTGTCCTAGGAGATGTATCCGTAAACATATTACTCCGAGAGATTTTGCTGCCAATGGTTTCTTCTAGGATTTTTATGGTTTCATGTCTTACATTTACGCCTTTTATCCACTTTGAATTTATTTTTGTGTATGGTGTAAGTTGGTGGTCTGGTTTCATTTTTTTGCATGTAACTGTCCAATTTTCCCAACACCATTTATTGAAAAGACTGTCTCTGCTCCAATGTATGCTCTTGTGTGCTTTGTCATATATTAATTGAGCATAATGGCTTGGGTCGATTTCTGGGTTCTCTGTTCTATTCCATTGGTCTATATGGCTGTTCTTGTGCCAGTACCCGGCAGTTTTGAGTACAATGGCTTTGTAATATCGCTTGATATCTGGTATTGTGATCCCTCCAACTTTGTTTTTCTCAAGATTGCTGCAGCTATTTGGGGTCTTTTTTGATTCCATATAAATTTTTAGAGTACTTGTTCTAGGTCTGTGAAATATGCTGTTAGTATTTTAATAGGGATTGCATTGAATCTATAGATTGCTTTGGGTAGTATGACCATTATAATGATGTTGATTCTACCAATCCATAAACATGGTATATTCTTCCACTTTTGTGTATATCTTCCTCTATCTCTTTTTTCAACATCCTGTAGTTTTCAAAGTACAGGTCTTTTACCTCCTTGGTTAAGTTTATTCCTAAGTATCTTAATTTTTTTGTTGCAATGGTAAATGGGATTATTTTTTTAGTTTCTCTTTCTGAGAGTTCATAATTGGTGTATAAAAATGACATGGATTTCTGGGTGTTAATTTTATATACTGCTACATTGCCAAATTCATTTGCTAAATTGAGTGGTTTTTTGATGGAGTCTTTTGGGTTTTCTTTGTAAATATAATGTCGTCTGCAAATAATGACAGTTTTAGTTCTTTTTTTCCTATTTGGATGCCTTTTATTTCTTCTTCTTGTCTGATCACTATGGCTAGCACTTCCAGTCCTATGCTGAACAGGAGTGGTGAGAGTGGGCATTCCTGTCTTGTTTTGTTTATAGGGGAAATGGTTTTAGTTTTTGCCCATTGAGTATGATGTTGGGTTTAGGTATGTCCTATAAGGCCTTTCTGATGTTGAAGTATGATCCCACTATTCCCACTTTGCCCAGAGTTTTTATCAAGTAAGGGTATTGGATTTTGTCAAATGCTTTTTCTGCAACAATTGATATGATCATGTGGTTTTTGTCTTGCTATCCGTTAATGTGCTATATCACATTTATTGATTTGAGGATATGTACCAGCCTTGCATTCCCTGAATAAATCCCACTTGGTTATGGTGTATGATCTTTTTAATCTATTGCTGGATCTGATTTGCTAGTAATTTGTTGTGGATTTTAGCATCTATGTTCATCAGAAATATTGGTCTGTAATTCTCTTTCTTTGTAGTGTCTTTTTCTGGTTTTGGGGTTAGGGTAATGCTGGCCTCAGAGAAAGAGCTTGGAAGTGTTCCTTCCTCTTGAATTTTTTAGAATAGTTTGAGGAGGATAGGTGTTAGTTCTTCCATGATTGTTTGGTAAACTCGCCTGTGAAGCCATCCAGACCAGGGCTTTTGTTTGCTGGGAGTTTTATTATTATCATTATTATTATTATTATCATTATTACTGCTTCAATTTCATCAGTAGTTATTGGTCTATTCAGGTTTTCTGATTCTTCCTGATTGAGTTTCAGAATATTGTATTTTTCTGAGACTATGTTTGTTTGGTCAATCAAGGTTGTGCAGTTTGTTGGAATAGACTTGTGCCAACTCTATTTTTTATGATCCTTTGTATCTCTGTGGGGTCAGTTGTTTCTTCACCTCTTTCATTTCTGATTTTGTTTATTTGGGTTCTCTCTCTTTGTTTCTTGGTGAGTTTGGCTAGAGGTTCATCAGTCTTGTTTATCCTTTCAAAGAACCAGCTCTTGGTTTTATTGATCTTTTGTATTGTACTTTTGGTCTCTATGTCATTTATTTCCACTCTGATCTTTATTATTTCCTTTCTTCTACTCACTCTGGGCTTTTCTTGTTCTCTTTCTAATTCTTTGAGTTGTAGGGTTAGATAAAGTATTACAAGTTTTTCTTGTTGTTTCTGTTGTTGTTGTTGTTTAAGGTAAGCCTGTAGTGCTATGAACTTCCATCTCAAGATTGCTTTCACTGTGTCCCATAGATTTTGGATTGTTGTTTTCATTGTTATTTGTTTCTGAGATGTTTTTTATTTCTTCTTTTATCTCTTTGGTAACCCATTCGTTGTTTAATAGCATGCTATTTAGCCTCCATGTGTTTGATTGTTATTGAGTGTTTTTATTGTAGTTGATTTCCAATTTGATGACATTGTGATCTGAGAAGATACTTGATATGATTTCAATCTCCTTGAATTTATAGAGACTTTTTTGTGTACTAACATGTGGTCTGTCTTTGAAAATGTCCCACGTGCACTTGAGAAGAATGTATATTCCGTAACCTTGGGGTGAAATGTTCTGAAGGTGTCAATAGTCCTATCTGATCTAGTGAGTCATTTGGGATATCTGTTTCCTTGTTGACCTTTTGTCTAGAAGATTTATCATGATGTCAATGGAGTATTAAAATCCCCTACTATGATTATATTGCTGTTGATCTTTCCCTTGATATCTTCCAGAAGTTTTTATTTTTATGTATTTGGATGCTCCTGTATTAGGTGCATATATGTTTACCAGAGTTATATCCTTTAGTTGTATCGATCCCTTTAGTATTATGAAGTGGCCTTCATTATCTCTTGTTATTACCTTCACTCTGAGGTCTATTTTGTCAGATATAAGTATTGCTATCCCAGCTTTTTTATTTTTCATTTTTATTTGCCTGAAGATTTTTTTTTTCATCCTTTCACTTTCAGTCTGTGTGTGTATTTGTTCTGAGATAGGTCTCTTGTAGACAGCATACATATGGGTCATGTTTTCTTAACCATTTGGCTACCCTGTGTCTTTTTATTGAAGCATTTAATCTATTTATGTTTAAGGTTATTATTGATAGGTACTTGTTTTTATTCTTTATGCCTGTGTTCCTCCTGACTTCCCCTTCAATTTTGAATGATAGCCTTGCTTCATCCCATTCCCTTCTGGCCTGATGAGTTTCTGTTAAGAAACCAGGTAATAGTCTAATAGGAGATCTCTTGTAGGTAACTTTCTATCTCTCTCTTGCAGCCTTTAAGATTCTTTTCTTTTTTTTTTTTTTTTTTTTTTTGTCTTTTATGTTTGCCAATTTAATTATGTTGTGTTTTGGTGTCAGTCTTTTTTGGTTCGTCTTGACTGGGACTCTGTGAGCTTCTTGGACTTGCATGACTTTTTTCTTCCCTGAGTCAGGGAAGTTTTCTGTCATTATTTCTTTAGGTTTTCTATTCCTTGCTCAGCTTCCTCTCCTTCTGGCACCTCAATTATGTGGATGTTGTTTTGTTTCATGTTGTCCCACAGCTCCCTTAGGCTCTCCTCTTGCTTTTTAACTTTTTCACCCCTGGTTGGTGCTCTGCGTGGGTGTTTTTTTCTACCTTGTCTTCAAACTCTCCTATTCGGACCTCAGCTTCTTCAAGTTTACTGTGAAACCTTCCATGGTTTTCTTTATTGCAGCTATGTCATTCTTCATTTCCTCTTGATTCTTATTCATGTTGGTGAAAATCTCATTCAGCTCCTTATAATTCTCATTTAGTTGCGTGTATTTGTCATCCAGACGATTGAGCATCCTTAATACCATTATTCTGAATTCTCTCTCTGACAAATTATTTGCCTCCATTTAATTTAGTTCTTTTTCTGGTGATTCTTTTCCTTTGGGGATTGTTCTTTGTCTCCCCATTTTTGCTGTCTCATTGTATTTGTTTCTATGTCTTAGATGAAACTGCTATGCCACCCATACTTTTGAGGGGTGGTCCTATGTAGTAGGTGTTTTGTGGAACCCAGTGGTGCATTTTCTTAGATCTCCTGAGTTGGGTGTTCTAGGAAAGCCCCCTACTTGAGTTATTTGGTGTAGTTGGATCTTGAATGTTATTGTCCCATTCATGGGTGGAGTTTCCTCACAGATTGTCTGACTATGTACCTCACACCCAACCTCGTCATGCAAGCTGTTGTGCATGTGCTCAGGGTCATGATGTGGGACTCACTTTGTGGTCCTGGAGCCCACTGCCAGAGTGGCACAACACACTTCAGAGTCCTGTAGCTCATGGGAGGTGTAGCATGACACACATAGGGTCCCGGAGTCCATGGCCAGGGAGGCAGGGGTCCCGATGTCTGTGGCTGAGGTGGCGCAACTTTGGCTGGGTTGGGGCTCACTCGGCAGGCAACTCACTGCGGGGGTCCCGGAGACAGCGGCCAGGGTGGCATGATTCTAGCTGGGGTGGCATGCACTCTCTGCAGGGTCCAAGGTGGTATCCAAAGCAGTCTGGGTGTTAGTATGGCTGCACCCCTAGGTTTGGCTGCTCTCCCCTTCATAACGGTGTGGTTTCTGTGCCAGAGCCTTGCAGTTGGGGGAGTGCCTGTGGCTATAGCAGGGGCTCCCCGTCCAGGAGCCTTATCCGCCAGCCCCCAAGACTCCTGCCAGATCTAACTGTCCCTTCACTCACACACACACCACACATGTCCCCACATTCCCCACTCACTCTCTCCCTCCCTCTCGTCCTGCCGGCTGCCATGTGTTTTTTTCCACCCCAGTAGAACTTTTGAAAAGCCCATGGCTCACTGTATTTCTTTCTGTCCTCACAGTATGCCACCACAGGCTGCTCCCTGACCCTTCACCACACAGAGAAGCCAGAGCACGAAGACATCTGTGAATACCGGCCCTACTCCTGCCCCTGTCCTGGTGCTTCCTGCAAGTGGCAGGGGTCCCTGGAGGCGGTGATGTCCCATCTCATGCACGCCCACAAGAGCATTACCACCCTTCAGGGAGAAGACATTGTCTTTCTAGCTACAGACATTAACCTGCCGGGGGCTGTCGACTGGGTGATGATGCAGTCGTGTTTTGGCCATCACTTCATGCTGGTGCTAGAGAAACAAGAGAAGTACGAAGGCCACCAGCAGTTCTTTGCCATCGTGCTGCTCATCGGCACTCGCAAGCAGGCCGAGAACTTTGCCTACAGACTGGAGCTGAATGGGAACCGGCGGAGGCTGACCTGGGAGGCCACACCCCGATCCATTCATGACGGCGTGGCTGCGGCCATCATGAACAGCGATTGCCTAGTTTTTGACACAGCCATAGCACATCTTTTTGCAGATAATGGGAACCTTGGAATCAATGTGACTATTTCAACATGTTGTCCATGATGCAGCGAAATTATTTGGGCATAGTGCTCTATGGTTAATAAAGGATTTTATGGATGTTTTATTCACTATGTCTTCACAAGTCAAGGTCCCCAGTTACCTTGTGTTCTGTTTGAACATCAGCCCAATGGAGTTCATTAAACTGGGGTGAATGCTTTTGGCCTGTTGGTTCTATAACTTGATTATTAAATTTTACTTCCTGAATAGCCCTTGACCGGTTGCTCAGGGCTCCTGCAGACAGACCAGTAGGTTAAGAACTGGAGGCTTCTTCCTGCCCCCTCCCTAAGTGGTCCCTCCAAATTGACAAAGCACAGTGACTGTCAGAAGATTGCTTTCATCTTGTGTTTAGGGGTAGGAGTTGGTTTAGTGCATTTTAAACAGTGTTCCTGTTTCTCAAACTGGAAGGCTAATCAGTATGCATAGTTACCTGGAGTACTCCTGTTAGACATGCAGATTTGAGAGCCTATGAATTTAACAATCCCATCAGGTGATACTTATCAACAGTGAAGTTTGAGAATTACTGGGTTAAGTTGTGGGGAAAGGGTCCAGATTTTAAAGGTGCTTTACAGTTGCCCTCAACTGATACCATTTGTCTTTCTACTATCTCATCCCCCAAAGCCCATCCCTCAAATTAAAACTAGAACTACAGGTCCCCAGGAACACATTCCCAAGACTTGGTCTTTCTCTTGTGTTTGGGGTGGATTACCTAGAAAAGTGAGTCCTATGTCCACTGATAGTCGTCACGTAATTAGATTTTGCTCATCACCAGTACAGGAGAGCTGTTTACATGAGGCTTCCCTTGGAGGCCCTCCTTGATCATAAATGGTGGGAAAGACTAGGTCAATAGAGTGGGGAAAGCTTTATAACCAATGTTATATGCTTGCTACTTAAAGGTATGTGTTGGGGTTTTTTTGTTTTGTTTTTTGCCACATTCACTTTAGTTTTTTAATAAATATTTTTCAAAACTGAATGTTGTACTTCATTTTCCAAATTGAATAACGGGCATTTATTGTGTGCCTCCTGTGAGTGGGGCAGTGAGGCTGCACCATCACCTGGGCCTGGAGCTCTCACCGTCTCCACAGGAGGAAACAGCCATTTGCCCAAGATCATAGCTTGAGTCAGTGGCCACATTAGGGTCCAAACTCACTTCCTTGAACATGGACTGTTGGTGGTGTTACAGGACTCCTCTGTGGAGCTGTTATTTGTCAGTGCCAGTGCTTGTGGAAAAAAGAGTATTATTTCTCATGCTTTACAGAATCAGAAGGAGTAGGCATAGCTAGAGCTGATGTACTGGGCTGGGTTTGAGCTAGGGTGACCCACTCCCTCAATCCCAACCCTAAACTCTTAAAAGAATTCATAATATTAGCCCTGAGTGCTCCATGAGGATTGAAGACTGCTCCAATGGCATTAGAGTAGTATCAGGTGGGAGTGGTGGCTTTAGAGTTGTTCTTTTTTTTAGGTGAGATCCAGAGTTGAGTTTTCAACCAGGGTAGAGTTCTGGCAGTTAAGGAATTGCCAAAGTGACTTATCTTTCAGGATAGTCTTCAAGTACAAGTGAAAAACAGTGCCCTGAACCAGAAAGGGTGCTTAGAATATGTTTGGGAAATAATAGCTCTTGTCACCAAGTCAGTCACATTTCAAGCCAATATCTGGAAGGATCTGTGGAGGTGAGACTAGGATCCAGAAGCAGGTGGATTTTGACCCTTGGGAGCAAAGCTGATCCAGGTCTTGCTGTCCAGTGCAGGCATGGCACCCAGGCACTGTGTTTTGTGCATAAACTAGCCGAGTTCATCATCATCATGTTTGGATCTAACCACTCTTATTATATATGATGGAAGAAATCAAGACTGGATTAGTCAATAAGTACCAAAGGGTAAAGCTATAATCAAAAGTGGAATCAAGTTATCCCAAAGCATAAAATGTTAGATCCTTAGCCCACCGAGGTGAAGTCATGGATCAGCAGCCATACAGTGTACTGGTGGCAGCACTGAGTCAAAAATTCAGACTTTCTGACTCCAAATTCAAACATGGTTCTTATGTAACAAATGAAAATAAATTTTTAGGCAACAAAACTCTGAACTTTTACTTCCAGGGTTATTTAGCCCCCTTAAATCTCTGTCACTGGAAATCTGTAAACTGAACTTTTACTCTGACTTTTTTTGAAACTAGGCATTTTCTGTCAGAAAAAAACCAACCTGATTTAGGAGGAAGTGAAAACAGCAAAATAGATTATGTAAATTAAATGTCTCTTTATATAGTTCCAATTTCAAATGCAGTTTAAAGCACAGCAATAAGAAGAGATGGGAGATATCTGTAATACTATCAACAATAAAATAATAAATAATAAAATAAAGCATAGCAATAGACACTTGTCAAACTCATCACATTACATTTTCTTAAAACAAATTTTTTTTATTCCTGCCCCAGTTCTACTAAAGGGGAATATAAGACAGTTTGGGGAGGCTAGCAATCTGAATCTGTGCCAGAACCAGTATTCTGCTGCACATTCTTGCTAGTATAATTGAGCCCCAACCCTCTTATCTGTAATGCGTGTACAGAGGCCATAAACCATGAACTATACACAAACCCCGGAGGGGGTTATTAGCTCTGGCGCCAGGCCAGGCCTTTGGGTGTAATCTCACTTCCCCCATTCCAACCCACTAGGGGGGGTGGGGGAGGGGGCCTGCAAGGCCTGTGAAAGGTCTGGAAGCTTGATTCATATTTGGGGGACAAAGGTACTAAAAAGTATAAAAGGAAAGCTTCATCCATATTCTGTCACTCAGTCTTTGGAGATCTAACTCCCCTTAGCCACCATACTAGTACATCCGCAAATAAGGGGTTGCTTCTGGAATCTTTGCGTATTCATTGTGTATTTTCCAGTCACCTGGTAAATTCTGTAACACTACATTCTAATTTGATAGAAATTTGGCTGATCGAGCACACCGGTAGATTCAGTTTGTGCCTTACGATGCCTGAGCCATTCAAAGGAAAAAATTACTCAAAATACCTTGAAAAAAATAGTCATTAATTCTGGGTGACAGGAACCTGTGTATCTACACTAATAAAAGAGAAACATACAAATTAGACATCACTCCATCACTCGGCCACTCCGCTACACCCACCAGCCAATCAGCGACTATGCAAATTAACCCAACAAGGATGGCAGTTAATTTGCATATGCAGGCTCGGAGCAAAGACTGAAGACGACTGAAGATGGCGACAGCCACGGAGCTGGAGTGAGCAGGAGGCTTGGGTTGCTCCCGGCAATGGAGGAAGCCAAGCTTCCCGTGGGCCCTGGACTCTGCTCAAGGAGTGGCTGGGGGCCTGGGTCGCCAGGGACAACCCAGGCTTCCAGTCCACCCTGGGCTCCGCTAGAGGAGCTGGAGAAAAAAAAAGGAGCATCTGGGAGCAGCTGGAGGGGAGAAGCCAAGCCTCGCTGCTGTGGGCAGACCAAAGGCCTGGGTCCCAGGTGCCGGAGGAAAACCAGTGCTGGCAGCCAGGGGACGGAAGGCTTATTGCACAAATCTTCATGCAACGGGCCACTAGTATATTATATTAGTATTTGCATGGTTCTCTATTTTTAAAAAGTCTTTAAAAACAACCAACTTTGAGATCAGGGTTCCCAACCTTTCTGTGAAGAGGAACTAGCCTTGGTTTCTCTGAATCCTTATAATTTAAGGGAGTAAGTGAACTGTCCCATGTAAATTATGGGAAACCAGGGGAGAGGTCTCTGAGGCATCACTGTCTGGAACTCTAATAAGTAGAACCTAAAACTACCAACAGATTCAAACCAATGGCTCAGTCTGTCTCAGCAGCAGAATCATGCAAATTCCTCACAATATCACCCCCACAGAAATTGTCCTTGTACCTAACTGCAGTTCTGGGGACTTGCCAAGTGTGACCTTAAGTTTATCAGCTGACCACTCTGGTTTCAAGTTTCCTAACTGACAACATTTGAAGGTTTATTTTCTATATATATATATTTTTTACTATAGTACTAATATCTGTAAGACAGTTGAGATATTTAAAAAGTTCAGTTATGGCCTGGCCAGCGTGGCTCAGTGGTTGACCATCGACCTGTGAACCAGGAGGTCACAGTTCAATTCCTGGTCAGGGCACAGGCCCAGGTTGCAGGCTTGATCCCCAGTGTGGGGCGTGCAGGAGTCAGACAACCCAAATGATTCTCTCTCATCATTGATGTTTCTCTCTCTCTTTCTCCCTCTCTTCTCCTCTCTGAAATTAATAAAAAATAAATACTGTTTTTTAAGTTTATGTATGTAAATCCTTCCTTGTATGAGGTGGTTCTGGGATAATTGTGACCTAGTATGTGTGAGTGTGTCAGCAGGTGAGTCCAGCTCTCCAGTTGCCTCTCAGCTTCCCATGGTTAGAGTTAAGGATGGTGCCTGGGCATAGAGACAGTTTTGTTTTGTAGTTCTGGCTTGAGAAAACTGTGGCCTTGACCCTTCCTGACTCAATCTTTACTTGAAGTAAGGTTATAATTTCATTGACCTGTGCTGGCCGGGAAGAAAGGGAGTCAAGAGTTCTTAAAGGGCCAGCCTGAGTGCCTCAGTTGGTTGAGCTTCGTCCTGTGCACAGAAACATTGCTGGTTTGATTCCCCATTAGGGCACATACCTGGGTTTCAGGTTTGAGCCCAGGTCAGGACATGTACAGAAGGAAACTGATCAATGTTTCTCTCTCACACTGATGTTTCTCTCTCTCTCTCTCTCTCTCTCTTTCTCTCTCTCTCTCCCTTCCTCTCTCAAAGCATGTCCTTAGGTGAAGATTTAAAAAGAATAGGAAACCTAGGTTCGTCTATCAGTTTGTCCACCCACAGCATGAGCACCCTGTGCATCTATAGCACTTCAGTCACCAGGTCCCTAGTGACTGAAATCACAGCAGCGCAAGGTGACCTGCATCCTGGCTGGGAAGTACATCCAGTACCAATTAGTGGACATCTCCCAATGGCCCATGGGATGATATGGGAGCCTTGGACAACCCAAGGCCACCCCACCTGGGATTGTCAATGGGGATCAGTACTGTGGGGAATAGATGCCCTTAGGGGAGGCTGTGGAACAAAGTATGCTGTGGGAGTTCCTGAAAGGCCTGAGCCAAGCCCACCCAGACAACGGCACTCTATCATATTTCCCCAGCCCCCAGTCTTGTGGGCCACGAAGGACCTGTGACCTGCTCCCTGTTATTCCCAACCTTCAGACCTTGGAGCCCCAACTGGAAACTCAAGCCTCTCCTCCTCCTTCCTCTAACTGTAGACCCTCTCCTCATTCAGAGGCAACATTCCTTACTTAGTAGTCTCAGAAACTGTCTTAAGCAACAGCCCAAGTGCTGGCTGTCTCAGCCTGACTCTGGAGCTGCCCACTGCCTGGCACTGGCTGATGTCACCTTTGTTGGTTCCACTAGCCAGGGCTCTGCCAAAAGCCCCGAAACCCCCGATCCAGGAGCACCCTAGAGACAAATATTCCATTCCATTGGCAAAAAAGAAAAAAAAAAGAAAAAAAGAAAAGGAAATCTAGCTCTCTCTATTGTTAAACCATCTGTTTCTGCTACTGATTTGAAGCTTAAAAGTTTGTATTTGTGAATACTTTTAATTTGTCTTGGAATTCCTAAATGACAGGGCAGGGGAAAATGTTAGACCCTGTTGACACCAACACCTGCTACCATAGCACTATTTTACAGAATGAAGAATGAATGAATGAATTGTTAACATAAGAAAACATTCAAGCCTATAAAGAATTTTGTGAGTTTATTTGAGCCAAACTATTGACAATTGCTGGGAAGTAGAAGCACTATCTCAATACATTTAACGTATTGAGATAGTGCTCTGGAGAATGGCAGTTTTTTACCTTGTTTTATACATTACAATCAAAAAAGGAGATGTAAATGGGTTACATGGACTCCATTGGTGTTAGATTAGGGAGGTGGGAGAAAACGAAGCAGGGAAACCTCTGGGATTG